TTGCTGTTGTTTTTGCTATTATTTTTATTATTATTATCATTATTATTATCATTATCATTATCATTGTTATTATCATCATCATCATCATCAACGTCATTAATATCAGTATCATTTTATCATTTTTATTATTATTACTATTATTATTATTATTATTATTATTATTATTATTATTATCATTATTATTATTAATTATTATATTATCATTAGTATTGCTGTTATTTTTATTATTAGTTGTAGTAGTAGCAGTATTCCTTATTGTTATTATTAGCATTCTGATAACAATATAATAATAATAATAATTATTATTTTATTATTTTATTATTTATTATTATTATTATATTATTATTATTATTATTATTATTATTATATTATTATTATTATTATTATTATTATATTATTATATTATGTTATTATTAATATTACTACTATTGTTATTATCATTATCATTATCATTATTATTGCGGTTATTGCTGCTGTTATTATTGTCATTGTTATCATTATTGTTCTGATTATCAGAATCTCATTATATGTTAATATTAGTGATGATAATAATATGAAGATTACAACTATGGCAATTATGATATAACATTACATAGTTAAGAATCCGAAGTCAATAATAATATAAATTTCTTACCAGAGTTTAATGTACCATAAGTGTAGCTAATTTGGTAATTAGGCAGGCGGAGACCTAGGTATCTTTAAGTAGATATTTTGGGGACAGGATCCATCGTAAGACATATGAAGACTATGGACTGGAGGGATAATTTAATAATATATTCAAAATTGCCGGTACCGTTAGCAGTTTCTGTAATATTGAGATTAATGCCTTCTCAAATTCTCAGTCAACTGCTATCCATCCTTCTATCCCTCCCTCCCATCCTATCATGCCTCCTTTCTCCTAATTCTTCCTTCCATTCCTCCCTCACTCTCTTCCTTCCTTCTCCCCCTTCCATCCTCCCAGCAATCATCCATGTAACACGCTTGAGTCCCCCCTTTAATGCTGTCCGTTTTCTTTCACCAGCTGAGAACAGTGACCTGAAGTCTTCCTGCGGAGACCTTGGCCGCATCAAGCACGAGCTCGAGGTTGAGGTCCGCCGCCTTGAGGCTGAGAGGAACGAACTGGCCACCGCCCTGCACGAGGCTGATGCTGTGAGTTTTTTCATGTTCTTTCGTACTTATATAGCTTTCTCTATGCTTTCGCACTCTCCGTTTTCTTTATATTTTTATCTCTTCCGTTTTCTGTCTTAGAACTTTACCTTCTCCGTTTTCTGTCAGAACTTTACCTTCTCCGTTTTCTTTCTATCCTTATCTCTTCCGTTTTCTTTCTTATTTCTAATTTTATTCATTTCACTTTTACTTTCTTATCTCCTCCCTTTCCTGTACACTTATTTTATCTTTTCTGTTATCTTTTTTATAGTCATACTTATTGTTCTTTTTTACTTTTACTTCTTTACCTTTTCTGCTGTTTTATTCATTTGGTTTTATAAATACTTCAGTTGGTTATTTTCCTTCTCATTCTCTTCCTTCATTTATTACTTTCGATGGCATTATATCAGTCATAGTTGTATTAAACACTTATCCATTCACATATGCATAGATATATTCACACTTAATTTATAAATAAACCGCCATAGACACAATAACAAAATCACACACACACACACAGGCGCGATATGCAAGGCGCGCGCGCGCCTTGCATATCGCACAGATATATAAGCAGCACATATTGACAGCTGATCAATCAGTCCCATCTGATTTTTAAATATATTTATTCTGACGCTCTCTCGCGCATTGCATTTCTTAAAAACTAATTCAGAAATATATCATTTTATTAGTGAATTGGAAATCTGATCCATATACGAACAGCTGATCTGTTGATAGTTTTTACCCAATAAAATATTTTATCAGTATATTTCATATCATTTCATTTTATCAAAATAAGAACACTCACTGATATGCCAGACATTCCTTTGATCTCTTATAACTCAATATAAATCTGTTTTATTTATAATACAGTCTAAAGAGATGTGTATGTTGAAAGCTATGGATGAGAATGAATATCTTCACAATACAAGAGATGTATTTGACTTGTATTATAAAGATATTCATTCTCATTCATACCTTTCTACATTTGTCAACATGAAAACGGTTCAGATGTGCATATTGTTTTTTCTAATCTAAATACCATAACTTAATTATTATATAGTCACTTTCTGTAGGAATCTTTCTACAGCTACAATGGTTTTCCCAACTACATCCAGTATCTTAATCATAATCCATTTTCTGTTGAGATTCCAGTATCTTTCCACTCTAAACTCAAAGATTCATTTCGCTCCACACTTATTTTAGAGGTATATGGCGTATAACGTCCCACTCTTTCTCACAATAACCTAGTTATGGAATCTATGCACTCAGTTACTCATCACCCTGACAGTAAAAAAAAAAATCTCACCATCCCCTTGTAAAATTAATATATATCCTTCACATTTTACTCCAAATACAAACATCATAAAAGGACCTATTCATACAATTAATGGATAAAAAACATTAAATCCATCACGCTTTACTCCGTGTACTCACGCTTTCCTCCTGTTATCTTTCCCCCTCACAGGCCCGCAAGGACGAGGAAACCAGGTTCATTAAGATCACTAACGAGTACCAGAGTTACAGGATCGAGATCGAGAAGAGGCTCCACATCCGCGAGGAGGAGCTCGAATCCGTTCGGTGAGTACCCCTTGCCTGCTTATTCATTTACTTCAGTGTTTGTGTATTTGCGGTGTTTGTTGTGAGGGAGACTGAGTAAGAGACAGGGTTGAATGGAGAAAGGGATAGGCTGTATATATCTTGCCTATCAGTGATTTTGATTTCGGAATTGTATTGGAGTGTCTGGTAAATTTCTGTAGGGGTGCAAACGCCAAACTTTTTTCTATGCATTTGATTCTTAGAAGGGTATTTGAGTATTTTCCAGATCGTATGCTTTGCGTTTTCATTAGTTTGGGGTAATATTACTTCTATTACAGAAAATGGAGTGATGCGAAAGAAAACGAGAAGTATGGCTTAGCTGACGGGGAGACTCTTTTAAGATCAGATAACCCAACTTGTCCACATGCTAAGCAATTATTTATATTCCATTATGATGTTGTTCTTGAAAATCTTTATATTGCAGTTCGTAGTAGAATAGCACTACAACTACTGTATTATCTCAGAAATCCCTGTCAGACATTTGCTCTACCGGGGAAAAACAAGTACATATCCTCTAAAATAAATCTTAGTTCTTGCGCAGTTTCGTTTAGTTACACACCATTTAAAACTAACATTGCAAGACAAACATCACTTGACGTGAAAAACAAAATTTTGTGTCGCGTTGGGGATTTCAAAGCATTCCCTCCCTTTTTTTATTTTCCTTATGATAGCATCAATGAATATGATTTTTCACATTCTGGTAGATGAGGACACTTACAGGATGGAAATGCCAAGGAATGTGTGTGAACATGAGTTGAGGCTAAAAATATGATGATCAGAAACGGCTTTTGTCTTTGGAAGTCGATATATTTTAAGCCCGTGGAAACCGAAAATATGTATCTTGTCGCTTTTGTTCTCAGTGGCGCCGCAAAGCACAAATTATCCGAGATATATCATTCTTACATGTAAATTACTCATTATTATTTTCGCCAGGCAATTAATTACATTTATTGACAATAGCAGTGGCTTTATCTCGTTTATTTTTACACACGTTGTCTTTTACCATTTTATGTGGGCGAATCTCTTGCCCAATCCCTGTATTCCCTAACCCTCAACCTAACCTGACCTTATCATGCCTACCATTTCCGATCTAACATAGCATAACAAAATCCAACCTAATCAAATCAAACTTAACCCAACCTGAACCAAACCTATTCCAACCCCAAGCCCACATAAATCAAAATGGAGGGGATAATCACAAGGAAAAAAACACCCCATATACACCTTTATTCCACGCACGACGACGTTCAAACCACGCTTTGGGGGCGGGGGGCGGGAGGGGGGCGCACGCAGACGCCAGTGCTGCGGTGGCGTCGAGTGGGGGGCGACCCGCAGGCCCCACGCCAACTATGTGTTGATAATTCCCCGCTATATTTACTCTGCTGCACGTCATACCACGGCGTTGCCCCGTTTAGCCTCACGCTTTGAGCCTTTCGTGGTCTTTGGGGACTGTTATTGTTCCTTTTGTCTGCCCTATTTCGAGACCTGGCGCGGGGACGTTCAGTTTGAAAACCGGTGTTAGCAGGAAGCGCTGGTGCTTTGTAGGTTTATAGAGATATGTATACGTCTGTGTGTATGAAAGGGAAAGAAAGAGAGAGGGAGAGAGAGAGAGAGAGAGAGAGAAAGAGAGAGAGAGAGAGATGCAGAGACAAAGAGAGACTCTTTGACTTTGACGCGTTTATTGAGACAAAAGAAAAATTTCGTCTCAAGGGGATGAGGTAACTTAAGTGATCCTCGCCCTTATCTTAAGAAGTCCCTGTGCGGGCTCACAACTCACAAAACGAGAGAGAGAGAAGGAGGGAAGGAGCGAGAGGGAAAAAGATATTTTCTTCATATAAATGGTTTTCAAGCAAATACGTAAAGAAAAAAAGAAAAAAAAAACGTTTACAGCCCCGTGATTTACTTTTGCAGCTTCTAATTCAAGTTGACAGCCAAGTACCAAAATATAAAATCGCTTTTGTCCAAGCAAGTGTCTTTTGCGGGCAGTTAACTTCGCGAGCATCTAATTAATGCCACCGACGCAACAACTTCATGCTGCAATTACTGCTGATTAATGCTGCGTCATTATCTCCTCGGTAAACCGCCTCTGATAGTGAACATCTCCAAGATTAAGAAATTAGTCGGAAGAATAAATTTGTCCTGAGCACTCAGACTAATTTTTCTTATTTCATTCCCTGTTTTCTATTTCCTTTTCTTCCTTGTTTTTCTGTCTTAATACGTTCTTCCTATCTTTCATTTCATTAATCTTAATTACTTCTTCAGTCTTGGAAACAAATACAGGAGGTTCAGAGATAATAAACAAACAAAGAAAATGCATCAAATCCTTTGTTAATCTTGACATTTTCTTTCTATATATTTTGTGCATAAAAGAATGCATCATTTTTTAAAAGGAGGAGGAGGAGGGAATTCTGAGCTTTTGCAAGAGAAGTTGCTCTCAAAATGAATGCAAAATACAAAAGCGACTCTCTTGCAAAATAGATAATCATACCTGACGTTATAATGTATTAGAAACGAAATAAATGGTTCAGAGAGCAGAAAGCTCCTCTTGGGATTAAAAACTTTGTGCGGTTCATGATTCGAAGATGTATATATCACTACATTGTGAACATGAACAAGGCTCATTAATTCCAATTGTTATAAACACCAGTGCACCATTATGAAGATGAACGAAGCTCAATTTTCCAAAAGATTATGAATGTGAACAAAGCCCAATCTTCTAAATTATTACGAACATGAAGAATGCTCATTATTCAAAATTATTATGAACCTGAACAAAGCTCATCATTCCAAATTATTTCTGAAAATGAATAAGGCTCAATTCAGCCTTGATGTTCACTGGCGGAGCGGCCTTAGAGATCCGCAGCGGCCGGCAGTTGTTTGGAGATCTGATGGGGGAGATTCTCTGCCCGGATGCTGTGCCTGCTTTGATGAGGTTTACTGATAAGCCGTGACGTAAGGAAGGGGGGGGTGAGGGGTAATGCCCTTTTTCTTTTCATTCTGTTTCTCTCTCTCTCTCTCTCTCTCTCTCTCTCTCTCTCTCTCTCTCTCTCTCTCTCTCTCTCTCTCTCTCTCTCTCTCTCTCTCTCTCTCTCTCTTCTCTCTCTCTCTCTCTCTCTCTCTCCTCTCTCTCTCTCTCTCCCTCTCTCTCCTCTCTCTCTCTCTCTCTCCCTCTCTCTCTTCTCTCTCTCTCTCTCTCTCTCTCTCTCTCTCTCTCTCTCTCTCTCTCTCTCTCTCTCTCTCTCTCTCTCTCTCTCTTCTCTCTCTCTCTCTCTCTCTCTCTCTTCTCTCTCTCTCTTTTCGATCGACGAACAGATTTCTCTATAAATACCGGTGACACAAGAATGGCATCCATGAATTTTCTGTTTTATTTTCCTCCTTTGCGAATGCTCATGGTGACCGGCCAGTATATTTAACCATTGAGAAATAAAATGCAGAAGGAAAAAGGTGACGCAAAATCTTTTCTGTATATAGATGTAAGCTCGTTTTGTGTGCCTGTGTTTGCGTGTGTGTGTGTGTGTGTGTTTATATGTGTGTGTGAACGTGACAGTGAAAGGTTCTCTCTCTCTCTCTCTCCTCTCTCTCCTCTCTCTCCTCTCTCTCTCTTCTCTCTCTCTCTCTCTCTCTCTCTCTCTCTCTCTCTCTCTCTCTCTCTCTTTCTCTTTCTCTTTCTCTCTCTCTCTCCCTCCCTCCCTCTCCCTTTCTCTCTTGTTACCAATCGTTCATTCTTCATTCCCCTTTCTTCTTATTTCCCTGGCTACCACATGCTGCCAGCGGTCAATAAAGAAGGATTTTTTTATTCTCTTTTTTGTCTATCTATGTTCTTCCCTTTGTTCTTACGTTCCCATCTTTTTTCGCTACTCTGCGTCAGTGCCAGTGCCCGTCCAGTGCCACTGTCCACCCACACAACCAGGCGCGGGAAACCTTTAACTTCTTTACATCCGCATACCGGTTCTTGTGTTTAACATGCCACGTACTTTTTTATCTTTCTTTCTTTCTTTCTTTTTCCCCTTTTCTTTTCTTTTCCCTTTTGTTGTTGCTGTCATTTCCTCTTCCTCTTCTTCGTTTTTTGTTGTTGTTTTTTCACTGTGTTTGAGGACGTGATGTGTTTCTTACCCTTGTGCTTCTTCTGTGTCCTTTTCTTCTTCTTCTTTTCGATTTGCTTTCTCTTCATTTTCGTTTATGCCGCTTTTTGTTTGTTTGTTTATTTCTAAGATGGTTGCCTCTTTGTTTTGTTTATTTTTATCCTTTTTCCCCCCTCCTTTTCGTATTTTCCTTTTTTATTTCTATATTTCTTTTCGATTTTTTTTTTTACCCTTCGATATGTTTGCTTCGTTTTCACTGTACTTGAGAAAGTGATGTATCTTGTACTAACATTCTTTTCCTTAATCCACTTTTTTCTCGATTTGTTTTTCATTTTAATTGTTTACTCTCGTTTTCACTTTAGTTTGTTTACGTCCTTGGTTCTGATCATTCTTTTTTTTAACGACGAGTGGGTTGGGGTGGATCGTACGAAGGGAGGGGAAGGGAGGAGGAGGAAGGGGGGGGGGGAGGAAAGAAGTAATTTTATTCTGAGACATATCGAATCTTCTTCGTAATCCTGTTTGTGATTATATCGGTGTTTATATTTGTCTGAGTGTTATCTGCCTCCTGACTTTCTTGCGCGGAAGAGAGGAAGAGAAGAGAGAGGATGGGAGGGGAGGGAGAGGAGAAGGAGGGAGGGAGAGGAGAGGGAGGAGAGAAGAGAGAAAGAGAGAGAGCAGACAGACAGAAAGATAAGAGGCTGAGAGAAAGAGAGAGACAGAGAGAGAGAACGAGATTGGTAGATAGATAGAGATGTGAGAGGCAACAATGATACATCCATAGTGAATTAATCATGTTTAAATCTATTAGAATGATTCTTGAACATATATCTGCTTCTTAATCGACGAACATAAAAGAAAATGATAGTATACTTGATAACACTATCATATGAAACACGGTGA